GTGTGAGTTTTGTGTTGTAAAGGGGTAGTTCGGATTCACCAAAGTCACACAATAACATAAACAAACTAACCGATCGAGCAACTTCTGTTCTGCAAGGTTTTTTCCTCTTAGATAGAGATAGAGAGATAGATAGATAATAACTTTATTATTTATTATCGCAACCCTTCAAATAACTTTAAAAAATCTAAACTATCCCTTTAAAATGCTTAGAGGCGATATCCTGCAATGAGTCCACACTGATGAAATGTTGAGCAAAACTCCTGCTCTGACCCTGCACTCTAACCTCCAAGAAGGATGGAAAAAATATCAGATTACATTTCTTTAAATCAACACAGTGTAGCTTTAAGGCTTTTCATGAAGTCACCAAAAGTTCTGCTCACAAATGTAATATTTGGTTCATATGTCACCCACTCTACTCTGTTTGTCTGTTTCCCCACATGGTGAAAAGATACTTTATAAACCAAAACGTCTTGAATGACTTGAAGACATGTCTGCTGGTTACTTATGGGTCAGAGAGAAACTGTGTTTTTGTTGTTCCCTGTGGAGGTGAGAAGCAGGTAGCCTGAAGGTTGAAATATTGATGGATGATGATAAATTCATGTGGCTGGTGAAAGAGTGAAGCAGGTCTAAACAGACGCTGGGTCTTTTAATCTTATTTTGAATGCCCATCTGTGGAAAACTGGTATTGTCCTCTAGAGGAGCGATGTCGTGAATGATTTGAGCTTGCATTCTTGTTAATATATAGTGAAATTTGAGAATGCTGTATGGCTATCCTCCAAATTGTGATGGGCTTACAGAATGTATGTTGATATGAACTGGCAAATTGCACACTCTCAGTTTTGCTGTAGCGGACCCTCTGGTTGCCACAATGAGGGTGTGGTTGCTTTGGTGTTGAAGGCGATGCTCTCTTCCCAGTAATTTATTCATAACTCTGAGGTTTTTGCTGTATTTTTCATCCATTTTTCATTAAGAAAGATTAAATTGGATTGGAAAATAGTTTTTCCACACTTGATGCAGCGATGACAGATATACTCACATATGATTTCACCCTGTTCCAACTAGTGCTCTAAATAGTGTTATACGTAAGTGTTCGTGGTCAGACTTAATGTGTTTTTCTTGTATATTATCTCCCAGTTGCCCCTGGGGTAGGTTAGGATTCCAGTTGCTCCCACGGTGGAGAAAGGCCTTCCCTTTTTCTTTCATACCAAGACCTGCCGGCTCACACAGCTGGCTTCCATCGCTGCATGTTTGTGTGTGTGTGTGCTTTACATGAATGCCAATAATACCCACAATGACAAAACATCAGTCCTTTCATAAGCAGCAACTCAATGTCCTCGGTGGGGCAAACTGCATCACTTTGTATATCTCATATCGTCTGGGGCATTGGAATAATATAACATACAATGGTATTTAAATTCTCTTATGGTATATTCCACTCAGAGGAACTGAAGGCAGATGAAATATAAATGCCTCGATGAATGTTTTTCTAAAACTTAACAGGGTATTTCTTGAACCTGTAGTTTTTATTCATGCACATTCTCTTGTTTTTCTTGCATGCTGCCTGTTCCAATCATTCAATGCTGTAAAGCTAATCTTAACTACAGCTGGGTGTGTGGATGCAGGGGTGAACTATGCAGGCCGGTATTGAAAAGGGTAGGTGGGCGGCAAGTGTGGTTAATTTGCTTGTCTTTGGGCTTGTGGTTAATTTTGCTGAGCCAAATCCTCTCATTTAGGGGATTATGTTACAAAGGCTTCTGGTGCGTAGGTGGGGGTCAGAGAGGATGAAATAGAGGAAAGGAGGAATGCGGACAGGGGAATGGAGAAAGTGATGGAAGGAGTTTTCAGTGTGGGGTATATAGGTGTAGAGGGATGGAGAGACATGGCAGCAGATGGGGGTTAATGTATGTAGTGGTATGGAGTGGGGGGGAGGTGATGCTCACAGAGAGGCAGAGGAGGGAAGCAGCTTGTGTGTGGAGAGATCTGAGGGTTGGGGGTGTACTTGTGTGGGCAGGAGGCGTGGTGAGGTGGGGAGAGTATTGTTTAAGGAGAGCTGAGTGAACTCTGATGGGGGGGCTCCAGCCTTCAATGGGTATTGACAGATCCATTGCCACTTCTACTCCACAGTCCTGATCTGCCTCACTTCCAAACACACCATACCTCTCAACGAGTTAAAGAAGATGAACTCTGAGATGGTCATAATACTCTGGGCCCTCGGTCTTAGTGAATAACATAGTTTAGACCATGAGGCTGAATTAGTGCTTCAGAAAGGGGCATTCTCCTTGAAACACACAACTCCCTTTGGGCTCTGTAAAAACCCACACATAGTCAAGGATGTGTCCTCTTTTTTTATTGGACCAACATTATTCAGTAGCTGTTTAAACCATAGCTATGCTGAGAGGTAAGAGGCAAAGGAAGTATTTAACAACTTTAAACAACTGCAAGCTGAAGAAAATGTTGGAATCTGCAAAGTAACACACAGAAGACTTGTCTACTGGTCATTTAGAGAAAACTAAAATGTTGAGGTTAATTCGTTTAGATTAGGTTATACAAAATGAGATTATATCTTAAAATATTAACATAAATCAAAACAACCTATGCATCCTAATAAAGAGCAAGGCTAGAGAAGAGTTAGGGAGAGTGCGTGGATGCAGTAGAAGAAGATGTGAATTGAGAGAGTTCAGTGGGGTTCAGTAGAGAAGTGGGGAACACTTGAGTTGGAAGCTCTGAATACCTCCCCTATGTCAGGAACGGGGACATTCTCACATTTCTCTTTGAGGAGGTGGTCAGGAGGATTTACTGCCAATTTACAAGTCTGCATATGCACTTTTTATAAGAATCAAAGACTCAATTTTAATTCAAAGAATTTTAAGTGGCAGTGTTGTAATATTACATGGAGCTAAAGCTACCGGCATCCACTTCAAATGTATGAAAATACTTCGCAGTTGTCAACATGGAAAGAGTAGTAGAAGAGTGGAGTAAAATTCTCAAGGACCCATTCACTCCTAATTCACCTCCAACAATCGCTCTGTCTGGCCTCAGTTATGGCAGATTGTGTTACATGATCCTTGGAATAATGAACTGGTGCGTCAACACTGCCAATCCCACACAGCACAGAAAGGGATCTGTCCGTTCCAGCCCCTAATCCAGTCTGTTTGGGAAGCAGAGACTGTGGCGTGACACTTGTTCCTCCACTCCCTGGAACCTCCAAGCGCCAGCTCACACATTAGCATAACGGTGAGGCCCATCCACTCACTACAGGATTAGTTCAGCTCTCCTCCCACTGTCTGATGGCTCTTTATCCAGATGGATGCAGCCTGTTAGAGGTCTTAACTACACCATTGCCACTAAAGTCATTATCATTCACCACGAGAAGGAATCAGCTCACTGAGGGTCTGCTGTTTGGAGTGAGACTGGCATCTCATTTGGGATGGTTTAAGATAAAAGACAGGGAACTCCCCTTCAGACTATGATGGAGTGGCCAATACATGCCTAATCAATCTGCCTTTATACTTAAGTGACTATTTAAGATTGTTAATCTGGTTTAGCAATGTTTTTTGGAACACTGTATTTATGTAAAATGTGGATTATTTCTGTTGGTCACATACAAGTTTTTCACCAAGCCCATGTTAATGTGTCAGTATAGAGATTTATTGTTGTTATTAGAGATTTGTGAATTATGTAAAAGGAAGGGGGGGACGTCCTTTGCTCAGTACTAGAACCTTTTTTTGTTTTTCCACGGAATGAGATTTGTTACACTTTGACCCATAACACATCTGTTATAAGCTTGAAAGTAACTTAATTCCATGAACTTCTCTTTGCCCATGAGATTGTTGTAACTTAAGTGGCGCCATCACCAGAGAGATGGACCTGACAAGGTGTATTTGTCTGTTGTCCAGTTGGTTCCATATATATCATGAGCTACTGTACTGTAATGTCAACTTCACCACTAATCCATCAGACTCAGGTGAAGTAGATTGCTGATGTTTTACATTGCGACGGAGCCAGTTAAATAGCATGCAGTTGGTGGAGTCTCTTGGCAGTCCCACTGTCTGGCTTCTTCAACCAGCAGAGAAAACATTATCTAATGTGTAATTGAAACACTGATATTCTTTACTGTTGCAGTTTTTACTGGAAACTAAAAGTATCTGACTTTTAACAACACAGCCCACTGACTCTTCTGAATTGACTTATAGTGCAATACATTTGAGCAAGGGAAGTTTTAAATAATGTAAAATGTATTTTATGATAAAGTTACTGTTCTCGGAAATACTATTACACTATACAAATTATAAATTGGAAAGGAAAAAACAACAGAGGGGATTCAGCTGTTTCCAACATCTAGTCCTGTATACCTTCATTATGCGTAGAAACTGCAGATATACATGAAAAAATCTGAAATAAATGTGCACAATGAAGGACAGAGGGAAGGGAAAGTGAGGGCTAAAGCAATTTGCACACACAACATATTGTATGTGGTTAACAATATAATGGATTTATTTGATACAGATTCCGTGTACGTGGGGACTGGGACTCGTGCTTCTCTTGTGTGTGTCTTGGTTTTGTTAAATGTTGGTGAAAGTTGCAAAATAGTGTACTATTTTTAGAGTCTCATTTATACTGAGAACTAAATCTAAAATTGTTATTAGGAATGTGTTTTCTCAGAATGTTCTGCTTTGATGTTTCTCTTTCTAACCTCCTGCTTTGCCCTAACCTTTTCTCTCCAATCATTTTTTTTAACTGCTTTCTTTTCACTCGTGCTTTCTATGCTTCCTCTCACCCTCTCTCCCACCTACACTGCACTTTCTTCTTTTCTCAATCTCTCTCTCTCTCTCTCTCTGTCTTGCGCTCTCTCTCTCTCTCTCTCTCTCTCTCTCTCTCTCTCTCTCTCTCTC